ACACACAGAGAGCTCATCTTATAAGGTAAGATTACAAAACCATCTTTTAAGAGGATTTCAGTGAAAAATTCATAATTATATCTCATATAGTTCAAAAGTTATGGAAAAAAAAGTATTTTACAGCAAAATTTAAACGGGCATTTAAAAAGTACTACCGTATGTTGCTGACCTCTAATGAATTTGGTCATCTTTAGTTTACTTGTGTTCTAAGTTTTTACACACATTCTGACATCTCCGTCATGCCTCGAATCATTGCTGAAAATAGTTTCTGGTAAGGTTTTTTGCTTGTATTTTAATATTACTCTGGAGAATTGCTATAGGCCAGCTACTAATGAAGTCATAGATGCCTGTTATTAATTCTTAATCAAGTCATGTGTGATTATCATTGGTTACCAGTGACATTGTTGCAGAATTGTGGGATAATAGGAACTAGGAGCAACAAACATTCTCGTATACTCATACATACATAAATACATACATGCACATGCACTCATGCATACATACATATGATTTTTTGTTTCAATCAGCGTACAGAAAACATCCACAGTTGATCTCAGTTTTAATTCTTATTGATCCAATCCATTTAGTTAACAAGAATTCTCCACAGTAGAGCAGGCTGTGACTATAACGCAGTGATGCTCAACTGGTGTGCTGCGGAGGCTATCTAGGTGTGCCACAAAATTATAACCATAATGAGACAAATAATTGTTTCTATCTTGTTTTCTGCTTTGTCTCAGTTTTAATTTTCTTTATTATAATTGGGCAGACTGAGGGCAGACAAGATCTAAAAAATGGAATTGGAAAAACAACAACCACTTTTCAGCACGCTATGTATTTTTCTGCAATTTACATCTACAAATATAAATAAGTATGTCTCAGGGCACTGATGATGGAGGCAGCATGGAACTCTGAAACGTTGGTGGGCATCTACCAGACTACACAACGCAACAACCCAGAAGACAGCAATCTTTCAGTCATTTCTTATCATATAACTTGTAATGCAGCTATCTAAAGGTGTATTTCAGAAAGAAGAATGATATTGATCTGCTCCCGGGATATGACTATGGAAGCTTCAAAATACACTTGTTTTTACATGCTTAATTGATTTTGTTTATGTACATATCGAAGCGCATGGATCTTGCATTGTCCATATTATACGTAGAATGCTTGATAAGCACTGGTCTCAGGACAACCTTAAATGTCTGTTGCAGGTACAGAGATGTGGACGATGATGAGTGTATGGTGTCAAGTTTCTCACAACAACTAAAGGAGGAATATGTGAGCACCAAAATGGGAATTTTGGAAGATCTGGAAGACATGGAAATGGAAAAAAGAGAACTTGCAAGGAAGAAGAACTCGATAACGAAAAAGAAAAGAAAATCATAACAAATAAATCACAGAATTTATGGAGATTTGGTATAAAATATTGCATTTCCTAGTCCATAAAATTTTTATTTATCACATACATGATGGCTTATTTTCAGAAGTTATTTTTACTGTTATTTTTTGGTTCTTTAACAGGCAGTTTGTTCATGTTAACCATGTTAGCTTGGCTAACACTTTGAAAAAATGAAAAATAAGAAGTCTTTGGTCTATCTTTTGTGGTTCATTGATAATTCCATACACTGGAACACCAGAACTGATGAATTAAAATGCATTGTTAGCCAGCTCCAGCCAACCAGGCTCACCTCAAGCATAAGCCTGAACTAACTGGCTAACATCATGTAGCTGGCTGGAGTTAGCTAACAATGCATTTTATTTATAAGTTCTGCTGTTTTCCCGTGCATGGAGTACCGCTGAACAGTGAAAGTAAGACACAATACTTTTATTTTTTGTTTTTAAATTTGTTAGCCAAGTTAACATGGTTGCTCTGCCCCTGTTCTTCAGTATGAATCAAAAGTTGTTGAAAATATATTGTAATTATGAATTTATAAGTGGACTGTTATTCAGAAAATCCATTATTCTCTCGATATATTAATCTTAAGTACTGTCTTTATATATGTGATGTCAGGTTTGTACATTCTTGAACATTTCTTGACAGCAGTACCATTAAAACTGACATAAACTTTTTTTACATAATTTAACCTCATGTCAACTTTTATTTCATTATCAGTCCAATCCACACAACTTTATTACAAAGTATTATTCAGTAGCAACATGTTTAAATATATATTATATCATCATGAGGCTGTTTGTTTTATAAAAGTAGAAAGTGTACCACTTTCTTGATTAAAATTAGTTCAGATAACACCATTTTGCTGTTGTAAAATGATTGGCTGTTTAGTTCAAATTATGCTGTATTATGTCACCAGTTAGATCTTATCATTTTTATGTTCTTTATTTTTTATGAGTTACATGATCATTTGTATTTACCTATTTAGAATAGGTACATTTGTTACAGGTTAAAGCATAGAAAGAATGTCTTAATGATTACAGTCAAACACAGCTTTTTAAATTATAAAACACCAAAAATGAAAATTTTATTTTTGGTGTCTCTTGCATACCATCATCAGGCATTTCTTATACATGGCATCTCTTATGTAACTTAACATATCATAATTAAATAAAATGTTGAAATATATATAAAAATAGATGCTGTGTTGATAGTTGAATGATGATGATAATGATGACAAATATTGTCATTTTAAGTTATTTTAATGAATTTTGGTGAAGAAAATGACAAGTTTGTGGCTTTAGAATACTGAAAAATGGCCCGAAGATGACATAATATACATTGAAACATGCTGCAATAGAGATGTGCTTTTTATAGAGTCGCGTGGACAGAATTGATAATGAATTAAAAATAGTATAAAACAACCAGACTTGCAGTGGAAGATGGTATCAACATATCCATCCAAATAGTTTTCATGTTCCCAGTCATTATTGTGTGCTTCAGGAAATATGATATTCCTGTGATGAAATGTGCCAGCATAGAAACTTTACATATAGTATCATATATACATGTGTAACTTTCCAATTTTTTCACACCTTTCCTTTGCAAGAACAAACCATAGAGTTTCTTAATATTCCATGTTTTCTTTGAATATATGTTCAAGTGCATTATGATTTCCAGACATTCAAATGGCAAAGAAATGCTTTTCATTGTTTATATTTCACAATAATGATTATAATTAATGTTTAAGAATTGTTTACCAGTCATTGAAAAGAACAACAGCTTTGCTGCAGAAAACAACGTGTAGTAAAAGACATAGTACAGACTGGAAGCTGCATTTCGGAATGATAGAATGGATTGTACGTTGTTGGAAAAAATGAAAGCGGATATTTTGTAAAGCTAGGTATAATTCAGAAATATTTAGTGTCCAAGCCTGAGGAAGAACCATATCTGTTAAACAAATCTCAGATTTCTGTGGAAATAAATTCCTCATGAAAACTTTTGTTCATAACTGATATACTCCAGTTTTACAAACATAAAATCAAGGAAGGTGATACCTAAATATCACATATATGGGCATTTTATGGATATAACATGCCATAATTTTTTTATTAGTTACTTTTCTAGTTAAATGGAACAATTCAGGCAATTGTGATTTGTGGCATTGTATTTTTATTAAGATCAGTTTTCAGTTTTGCTGCTGTCTGCTCATGCATATTTGTAGTTGCATCCAGGTTTGATGAGTAACAAAATGTCAAATTTGTCTCCAATCAGCCAAAAGAAATGTTTTAAGACTCTATGTCTTCCATCCATAATTCACACAGTGGTGTAACCTGCAGGAAACTCCCATTAATTGTCATCTTTCTGTATACTGACACTCAACCACCATCACCTCCATTCAGCTTAGTAATTTTTAATCAACTAATAAACAATCCCACAAATTGCAGTACTATCTTACTGAACCTGTCTCATAATACAGAAGATGAACCATGTGTGCCACTGGTTAAAAAACCAGGTCCTTACATGATTTTTACAGACAGTATAGCACATGATAAATAGCATAAGAACTAGCACAATGTACACTGTGCTGAAGTGCTATAAATGTAACCATTTGTTATCTGAACTGAAGACTAGAATGCATTTTGAAAAGAACAAAGTTGCTCACTCTTGTAGTTAGCATTTATTAACAAAAAACTGGCTGTGGGTAGGATTAAACTACAAAGGATTTCAGTTACATGATAAAGAAATTAAATATGCTAATAGCTCTGCAGTTAATCCACAAAGCAGATAATCACCTTCAGACAACAATGGGTGACAAAATGCTTTCTTTGTCACATACTGAAATAGGTGGTTCTCATGGTTTTTGTAATGCTCAATTTGAAGGTGGCCCCAAAATTTGGCTCTTGCCAATTAGTTTTGAGTGAATTAGAAATGAAATTTGTGTCTAATTTAAAGACGATGACAGTGTCTTTGTAGAAATTTCACAATCAGCATAAAAGAATACACATAGATAATTTAAAAAGAGAAACTTTGTTGAACAGTGTAATTGAATGTACTGTGCCATGTTTGTCCTAATGCTTTTTTGAAACTGGTGGGCAAATAAACTTTAAAAAAAATTCTGTGATTGGTATGTCAGAGTATTTCGATCTATGAGTATGATGTCATTTTCACCTCTGCAGTATAATAAGAAAAATCAGTAACTTTACAATTAATAATTTCTGTAATGAATCTTAATGTGTACACAATCTCAGAGCAGCACTGCCTTTATGCATTCATGTCAGTGATACTAGTACCAAAAGTATAGTGTGTCCACAAAGTCCCAGCGGGGTTTTGAAAAATTGTGGCGTAAACAAATTGAGCTAGCCACATGCGATTTGCGGCAGATTACAGTGAAACTCTGGAAGTTTTTTACTGACCTCAGTAGACCTTGATGTGGGCTCCCTTGGTAGCACGGAGAATGCCCAGATGATATTTGAGCTCTGCCATGTTTTGTGGAGCATGTCTGCTGGAATAGCCGAGATTGCATTCCTGATACGAGTCTTCAGGTCATCAAGTCCGTTAACTGGTGTTCAGAACACATTGCTCTTGCCATAACCCCACAGGAAAGAATCCAGTGGTGTTATGTCTGGTGAACGTGGAGGCCAAGGCATTGGACCGTCTCTGCCGATCCATCTTCCTGGAAATGTCCTGTCTAGGTATGCGCGTACCTGCAGACCCCAATGAGGTGGAGCACCATCTTGTTGCAGAATGATGTGTGGCTGTAAGTACTCAATTTGTTGTCCTGCGTACAGTTCCAGCATGTCCAGGTAGGTGTTGATGTTGATTGTCTGCTCTTGAAAAAAGAAGGGTCCAATAACCTGGTCATGCATTATGCCACACCACACGTTCACTTTCGGACTATCGCGTATGTGCTCCCTAACAACGTGGGTTTTCAGTGCCCTATATGCGCACATTATGCCTGTGAACTTTACCTGAGACATGACATGTTACCTCGTCTGTGAACATGATTTTTTTCAAAAATTCCACATCAAGGTCAGTGCGGTCAAGCATTTCTTCTGCGAATTGTTGACGTGCTATGCCATCACCAGGTTTCAACTTCCAGAGTTTCACTGTAATTTGCCACAAACCGCATGTGGCTAGCTCAATTTGTTTGCGCGCCACAATTTTTCAAAACCCCGCAGGGACTTTGTGGACACACTGTACATACAAGAGGGAATGACATCTGAAGCTCCAAAAAGAGCATTAATATGTAATGGAGTACCTGTGAGATGTGTCTCATGCCACTCTGTACTAAGGACTTAAAATTATAAAGTTCTCATGAATGAATGGTATACATATCTCTCTGATACTTCACTCTGTTTTATCCTTGAAAGTTTGCCTGTTAAATTAAAATTTCTCTAAAGTAAGATCTTATCAGATGATTTTTTTGTGTACATGTTTATCTGGAATTTTTTTCTGCTCAGTTAAATTATATGAAGGCTTGCCCATTCATCACAGATGAGTTAAAAAGAGACCAGTGGCAAGTTCATTTTTAGCTCTGTTCTGTATATATTTAACATTTAATAAATGAAAGATACATTATCATGTGTAATGTGCAGAAGTCAAATTAAAGAACATGTTATTTTTGTAGTCTCTGTTTTAAATACTTCCTATAAAAATATTTACTTAGAGCCACTTGTGATATTGTGGGTGATCAGATGTTCACTGTGGTTGCTTTAAGTGGTAGAAGTTATGCGATTTTTATTTTGTATTTAAAAATAAAGGATCTGCGTTATGCTGTTTGGATTAAGCAACATTTGCTGTCTGAGCTTTTGAGTTAAGAACTCTTGGAAAAGGGCTTTTATTAGTTTACTTAAAAAAATTGTTCAACAGAGATTACTTTAATCATCATCAAGATCAACAAATCCTGCACTCCGAGTTGATCCATGATTCACGTTACATGTTTTATGTATTTATTTAAATTAATCTAAACCATTGAATAAAGCTTCTGCATCTTGAGCCTTTATCCTGATGGGAACTGTATCCCTTATATTTTTATTTTCATCATGCAGATAATTTATTGTATGTATAAAGCTTGATTCCAAGAGTTAACCAATATGAATCCTTTTGGTCCAAAGAAAATAAGTAATTTTTGGAACGCTGCTTATGTTTTTACACCTATGTCTCCTCCAAGAACTCTGAAGTGAAAGTTAAGTGTACCCTTCTGATTACCCACAGCTGCAAGATTAAGGTATGAGGAACCTGATCAGGTTATGATTTAGAAGGACAATGTGATGTCAGAAGAGGCATGCAAAAATTGAGGCCAATCCTTCACCGCCTACATCTATAAACCCACATAGATTTATACAAACATGAGGACAGCAAGGAACATATATTAATATCAACTACGAAAACCAACTCTGTGCAATGTACGGGTGCATGCCTTCTCATAAATATGTCATTGTCACATTGAACTTTATCTCTGTATTGGGATTGCATTGTACACAGGAGCAATGCGTGGTAGAATTATGTAAGGTGTAATATTGGGTTCATGCTCAGCTGTAGTGACGTAAGCTTGATTATCTTCCACCGAACAAAGTTTCAACTCGAGAATGGAAAACCAGATTTTAAGTAAAATAACATTACAGAAGTTTACAAGAAATTTACGAATGATTTCAGTTTTCATTTAGATCGGACAATTTTAAGGAGCATTTTACATGATTGCCTAAATACTTTATTGCGTTAAATTCAGATACATGCTTAAAAACTTGCGTAAACTGCTTTTTGAGGTGTACTCGAATAAATTTTAAAAATAAATGGCATAAATGAACGTTAACTTACTTCAGTAAGCATTCGCTAAAGTATTAATACTGGAATTTATTATCACGATGGAAGATGCACTTTTGAGTTAAATTTTCGTCCTCCATTTGGATACACCTTATTTATTCCTACCATGGTTACAGTGGGTATGCGCTGACGTATATTGAGATATTTGTGATATATAGTTTACAAATTTTATTTTAATTCAGGGTAAGTATATTAATATGCCATGCGCATGTTGTAGGTTCGTATGACAATGTAACTGAACAAAGGGTTCTGCGTTTGATTTTTCTCCACTACGATTACCATTACATATGTTTTTTTTATTTGTTGCCATTTGGACAGTCCACGTAAAAACGAGTATATTGAGGTATTGAAGTAAAGTTATTAAATTACGAAGGTCTTTTGCTACGAAACCGTGTTTTTGTTCTCTCTCATTAATTCGTATAACCTTATGAGTATTATTTAACAGTACGGTAACGTTACTTTGTATCTTTCTTCAGCTTGGAAGGATCTCAAATGGCAACGTCAGACAGCGAAGATTTTGAGAGTGCAGATGAAGACCCAGAAATTCAGATTGATCACACTGCATTGCATTCTACAAAGGAACAGAAAGAACCAGAGAAATCTTCAACAACAAATGAATCCAATGACAATAGACAAAAGAAAGAGCCTGATGAGTTATTAAGGAATGAAATTGGAATTGGAGGAACGTTTCAAACGTCAAAAGACCCTACTAATGATAAAACCGATACAGAGGCCTCAGATATTAATAATACAACTGTGAAAACCATTGAAAACAAAGCTGTTAAGTCACCTAGTGTTTTACCATCAAGAGGAGGAAGCAATATAAATGGTTCAGATGAAGCTGTTACAAAAGATAGACAACCAAAGAAATGTGTAAAGAGGGAGCAAAAGCCAAGGGAACCAAAATCTGGGGGTTCAGCAAGAAAGCTTGGTACAAAAATTTCTCAGAATATTTTATGTACAGGTTTGGAAAGTGAGTCTGAGAAAGTAAAGCAAGATTTCTTTGCATCAGAGAAGACCTGTAACCAGGTTGTTGGTGATACTCATGACAAGGATGAAAGAAAGACTGTTACAGTTTCTCCATACAAAATGGATAATACTGCTCAGGAAATAGAGAAGTTGACTCTTGAGGAGAGTAGTGAACATAATATTGCACCAGTTTTGGATAAGTTGTCACAATCTGCATCAGAAAAGGTTTGTAACAGTAATTTGTGAAAGATTTATTTGTCCAGTTATGAGATTAATATCAGCACCTTTTATTTATTTGTGATATAAAATTAGAAAGTACTGTTTAAAGTCCCTGTATTTCTAAATGAAACTTGGGTCATTATAACTACAATTATTTTGGTATTGTCTGACTTTTTTTCAGTAATGTATAATATATTTGTGTTATAAACTGCAGGCATACTTAGGTCCATATCACAGTTTATAGTTTTATACAAGAGGAGCATGGTTGCTATGTTTATTCTGAGTAGAGGTGCACTGTTGCTTAAAGTATGCATTTACTAACATTGCAAGCATATAATTTGCTGTTGATGGTCAAATGATGTTCATGATGAGACATAGCCTAGGCATTTTCTGCATGTAGATATAAAAGTTATAAATTGCTGTGAAAGTAGCTCTTTCCAGTAGACTCATCCAACTATGTAAAATGGTTTTGCCTGATAATGGAAGGTGAACTAGCTTACAAAACAACATATATTTTTTTAATTAAATAGAGAAAGGAAAATGTCCAGGAATATGCACCAGTTTAAGTACTCATTAAGTAGTCTGTGACAAAGTAAGTACAACTTTCTTAACCCTAGAACTGCCAGTGTTATTTGTTGTATCACCAGACCAGTTAGTACATGCAGACACTTTTTTTTAAATAGTTGTGATTTTGTGCCATGTGCATGATTCTTATATAATTTTTAGTGAGTAGGGCAAAAGTTTTGATGTATTTACACACTAAAGAAAGAATTTTTTTGTTTTCATTCTTTATCATGCTGTGAAACACAAATGCATATGCATAACTAATGTAGAAGTATTGAACATTATTATTTTTTCTAATAGGTCCCAGACTTATAACTGTTGATGCTACAGAATATTTTGTTTATCTCCCTTCATACAGACATTGTCTTGGCAGGTATAATGTTTTTGAACAAACAATATTACACAACTAAATAATTTATGTAGACAAGAACAGAAGAGAAGAAACATTTTCCTGTCTCTTACAGGTCGTAGGTCATCCAAGCAGACGTCTTTTGTGTATATTTGTATGTATATTATTTTATTTCTGATTGTTGACAGTTCTGCTGTTGACAGTATAGTGTCCTACGTCACTAAAATTGTATTGTCTGACAATTGGAGTGTTAACATTCTGCCAGCAGTTTAAATATCTGTGGGTTGAGAGTCCATAATTATACTGACATAGTAATTTTTAATTGTAAAACAAATGCATTTATCAAGTGTATGTTAGTAATTGATCCATATTTTAATTCCTCAAAACTTGAGCTATGATCTGTAAATGATTAATGCTAATTGTGTGGCATCTGCAGGAAAAAAGAAAATAATTATAGAAATTACATCATGAGTAGTTGGCATTGAGAGAGCAGTAGTTCCTATTGTTGGTGGTGAAAATGTTGAACACATATTAAGTGACTGTCATGGAATTATTATCTTCATTTTATGACAGGCTTTGTCTTTTCTAATCTCTATTCCGTTATAATTATTTAATTGGAAGGTAGCAATGTGGAAGAATTGTGAGTGATTTCTTCCTAGTGAAATTCTTCACAGAATATGAAGTTTGATAATTGTGTCACATTATTCAACATCTGGCACTGTGAATCACTATTTTCTCTCCCAACAGGAAACAGATTCTGATTCTAGCTGGGGAGGATGGGGCAACTGGGGAATGACCTCATTATTGTTCACAGCGACAGAGAGTGTATCAGCTCTGACAACACAAGTATCACAGGTAATGTTGCACCAAACATTTCTTAATTTTTGTTAAAAAAATAAAATTCTGAAAATTGGTATATTGTGTAGGTGTATTATAATAGGATGGGTAAAATCATGTGGGCTCTTGTTGACACTGAAGATAGGTTTATTCCACTTACTGTTACAATTTATTACATCCTTGCTTTATGTTTTGTCAGCTCATAAATTACAGTCTTGGTTATGGTTGGTCAGACTTTACACTTGTTATACTGTAAGTCACTGATTCTTTGCATTTGTTGATAAGTAAGGCCAGTAAGCTTCCAGAATATTACATAGGAAGTTTCTAGTATGTGCGCACATGGCTGATAAAATTTAAGTGAGCGGGACTGTCGTGGATCACACTACACCATGGAGACCTCATGTGACAGTTTAATTTGTTTGAAACTTAACTTTTCTTTCTACAAGTGAAGACTTGCAGACACTGCTCTAGCTGCTTTGTATATTTTATAATAAATGTCAGGCCTCTTGTAGCAACATGTTAATGTAAATATTTGTCTGTGTCACTAATTATTATGGACCAGTTGACCAACCAGCTGGAAACTCATTATATAAATCATGCCATCATGTTTCTTAATCCATTGCATTGTTTGTGCAGCTTCTTATATTGTGGTAGTATGAGTTATAGGTCACCCTCGGTGGACTAGTGGTTAGCGTGCTTGCCACTGGACCGAAGGTTCATGGGTTCAAATCTGGCCGAGGTAGATGGATTTTTAAGGGGTAATAAAAATTCGTAGCACAACTTCCTTCAGAGGGGAAGTAAAGTCGGTGATCCCATGTTGTAGATTGACAGTATGTAAAAGATGTTTTGTAAGCAAAATTCAGCAGCCATTTCTCACTCATGTTTCTCCTGATTCTCTACTAGATGGCTCTAGCAGACATAATCAGGAGTGAATAGAAATTGTGCAGAGGCAGTGGGCTGGTCACTCACTACTCTCAAATGCACCCTTCAAAGATTAGGAAACCTCCGAAAGGAGGCAGCCAAGACCCTCACTGGGTTGTAGAACCAAGGAGGAAGAAGAAGAAGTATGAGTTATAGAATTTATCTTCATTAAAAAATAGTACAAAGTTAATTAATGTCTCTCTGTATTCATGCAATAACAGTGTTTTAAGAATAAATTCGCAAATTAATTAAGACTGTCAGTTTTTTTTATGACAGGATGCATGATTTTCTACACAGTTACTTACAGAAGACCTGCCATAACCAGTTTCCATTTGCTTCAGGGCCTGGGTACTGTTTTGGAGGCAGGCATTGGTGCTCCAGATCCAGAGATGCTGGCTCAGCTTGAAAAGGAGGAAGAACTGAAGCTACTTCAAGAAAAGAAACAGAATGAAGCAAACGAATGTAAGTTCAAAAAGTTTCTCTATTTTTAACGGTACTGCGGTAGGGGCTTTCAGAACATTATTCTGCTGTTTATGTAGGCATTATCTTTTTATTTGGTTATCTGGGTCATCTCAGTAACTGAACATGATTGTGTAATAGACTTCACAGCTGGAAGACACATGCTGTTTACAACTGTAATCTTGAGACTTGCAAGGAATGCAGGAAGTCCGAAACGTTAAAGGCTGGCGCTATCTTTCCTCCTTCACCCCACTTCCTCACCCTGCAAGTCTCAAGATTACAGCCAAGAACTATAATAGTTTGTCTATTTCCAGACCAAGTTTTGGATTTGCTTCATTATTCAGTGGTATACTATGTGTTTAATCCTGTGGTACATATCAAATGGATACTTTTTTATCACAGCATGGTACATTCACAGGTTGCAGATATACTTGTGAATATATTTACTAGATCAACAAATGTTGAATATAACATCAGATTTGAATGCATTATTTGGAGATAGGCTCTGGGTACAGTCCATGACAGACTGCTGTGAATATGGTAACGATATTTCAGGTTCTATTAAAGTTGAAATTTCATGACTACTTGAGCAAGGACTTAATCCATGTAGTTATGTACACCTATGTGTGAAAGACCCTTGGAGTTACCTGCATATTGTCAACTGGTGTACAGGGATCATCAGTATGATGCCCCTAACTGCGCAGGTACCACTAGTAATGGTGGTAACAGATTACATGACTCCTTCATGAAAGTGTCCCTATGCTTATCACTGTGATATGCTATTGGGTGTCTGGAAATACATTCCTAATCATGAAATTTATTTGAAAGTTTGTTCTTAGCTTCATGCTTTTTCCCCTGGTATAAAGAATCTCTGATACCCATCGGATACTAGAATGTGTGTGAAACCCAATGGCACTTCATGTTGAAGAGAAAAATATCCCAATGCCCTAGGTCTCCAGAAACTGTCAACAGTTTCCAATCAACCAAATATTAATGAGTATGAAATGATACGTAACAGATCAGATTATACCGACTGTAATTCCATCTGTTTATATTACTGTACAGCTGTAAGATTCTTGCAAGAAATAACAGCTGGCTAGGCAAGCAGAATATTTGGATCTAAGTAAGAGAAAGTACCGGGAGGTTGGAAAAAGTTTAATAATGAGCAGTTTCATAATTTATGCTCAACATATCTTCTTAGGATGAAGGAAGGGATAATGAAATGGGCATGTAGAAATGCAGATAGAATTTTAGTGTCAAAAGCTGAAGGGAACAGACCATTTGGAAGATGGAAGGATGCTATTAGAATAGATTTTAAATAAACTGAGTTTGGGAATACGTTTTAGAGTCATCTGTCTGACGTATAAGGCCTGGTGACACGCTTGTGAACATGGTAATTTTTTATGAAACATGCGTAGTTAGGAAGAGATGTCCTGCATACTGTACTATCTTTTGACAAATACAGTGGATTCCGTTTAATTGGGACACATCAGGAAAAGAACACTTTGGCCCAATTAAGCGAAGTTCCATGTAAAGAGTTAAATAGGTTTGTTCTTCAAGATTTGTCCCAAATAAACGGCTGCCCCGATTAAATGGAATCTACTGTATATGGAACTACTTATGTGGTTGTTCTGATTGCCAATGAGGAGTAGGGCATTTGTCCTTTATTAAAAACGTGCACTGATTGTCATCCCTGTTGGTATCATAATATCAAAAGATTGCTGAGATGTAAGACTGAAGATTTCTTTTGGGTGCTAAAGTAGGTTAAGGCATGATATTAAATTTGGGTGAATATGTTCTAAATTTTTACATGTACAGCATAAATTTTTAATGCTTCTAATCAAATATAGATGGCTGTATATTCTTCTGCTTTAGCTGTAGAAAATCCAGGTTCCCAGTCACTATGAAGAAGCCTTATGTTATTTCATACCCAGTTATTTTTACTGTCTTGTCTGCCAACAGGTTTTATGCACATCACTTAACTTGACATACATGTTTCATCCCTGCAGTGGTTCAGCCAGCTTTTCCTAGGCAGACTTAACTTGAAGCCTGGGCAAACCAGGTTTCCAATGCAGGTGTCCAGATAAAGTAAAGTTGTTGTATTTATTTCCATTTTAAGTTTGAACTAACAATATGAGTATGTGGGAATGCTGCTGCTTTTGTAGAACAGTAAAATTTTTCAGTGATTCTGTATTATTATTTCCAAATGTTGGTGTGATTGCTTTATAGTTACAAAAAGAGCCAAGTTGGCATAATCATTTGTAGGTAGGCTTATATTCAAAACCCACAAATATTATGACTCTTAGACAGACTTTCTGTTAATACTTCACCCAAATTCAAACAAAGTAGCCAGTCAGTGATGGCTGTATTCTGGGTTGTAGTGCTATGTAGTCTGGTGAAATTTACTGACATTGCAGAGGTCCTTACATGTCTGTGATACTTGATATCAACTTCAGGACACAGTAGAATAATATAACAAATTTTTTATAAGTTTAATTTAGAATTACGCAAAATTACCTGTGTATCCCCTGAAAGACTCCTAAAAAGTGTGTCTTAGCTTTAGTGGAATTCACCTCTCTAGCCAATCTGTTGTGCCTTAGAAATTTGAATATGGGATATATTTTCTACCCTTTCCTATCAGTGTCATATCATCACTTTTGTTCTTGGACTGATGTTCATATTTGATTGGCTGCAGATTAAAGGGATCAGGCTGTTATTCTTTGCCCATGCCAACTCAAGTCACTAGGGCCTAAGTGATGTGTTAGTCTCAACTACAAGCAATTCAGCTTTATCCTGAAGCTATGCATCTTTAACCTGTCACCAGCCAAGAGATTATTTCCATCCACTTCTGAAAAACTATGTAACTATGACATATATCTTAGAGTAAAAAAGTTGCTTTTCTGCTCTCAAAACTAATTGCCTAATAAAGTATTGTAACACATTAGGACACGAGTTCTCTTTCTGTCTACCTTCGGTCAACACTACACGATCATTCTCTTCATGGTTTGATCTGATCTCATCTGATCTAGGGTCTTCAGACTGGCTTCACTTGTTTATCAACATGTATCAACTTATGTTCAGTTGTTAAAGCAAATTATAAAATTTAAAGTGTTAAAACATATGAAAATGCTTTAAAAGAAATCTCATTTTACACTTTGTGTAGAGTTAACTTTATACATTGTTTACTTCCAGAGTTTATTGCGTTACCTAGCTTGATGTCCACATGACTGTTTTATTGTGCATTTTATTATGTTCCTTCTTTTCATCTGTTCTTGATGCCTTGTAGCACGGAATTATAAACCATAAACCATAGACAGAAGGAACAAGGAATATAATATAATCAATGCATGAACGGCAAGCTAGACAAAGACTTTGAAATTTCTTACAGAATGTGGAACATATGCATTGGAATATTAAAAGGGCTGAAACTTGTTGTGGCTGCATTTAGTTAAAATTTCAGGCTTATGAATGTGAATTACGTTGTATTCAGTTTCAGAGTTGCAACGTGAAGAAGAACAGAAAGCTGTGCCTTCAGGTTTGTTTGGGTTTAGTCATCTCATCTCTGGTGTGTCGTCGATAACAAGACTAGTTGAAACCACAGGAAATAAAGTTCTGACTGGGGGTTTGGACACCCTTGAGACCATTGGCAAAAAGACAATGGAAGTGCTGCAAGAAGGTGATCCTGGCTTGAAGAAGAAGAGAGCTTTATTTTCAGAAAAAATTGTTCTCTCACAGGTATATACAGAGTGATTCAAAAGGTTAGGGCCAAACTGAAGGAGCATATAGAGGGACTCGGAGAGAACAACTTTCGAATAGGAATCCATGTCCTCCGAAGTTATCCTGAGTCAGTCGAGGCCATTGAAGGTAGGGACGTCTGATAACATACCGGTGAAATAATCACAGCCTAGGGGCCTCTGTAGAATCTGACAGGATACGTGTGATTCAAAATGAAGCTAGTAGGAGAATAGCAAATTACGATTATTTCAGCGGTATGTTATCAGACTTCCCTACCTTCAATGGCCTCGACTGACTCAGGATAACTTTGGAGGACATGGATTCCTATTCAAAAGTTGTTCTCTCTTAGTCCCTCTAAACGCTCCTTCAGTTTGGCCCTAACCTTTTGAATCAACCTGTACATGTTGATACAGTGTCAGTACCTTAAAAAATATTTTAGCATCGTTATAAGGTTAGTTGATGTGTGTAGGATTTGAGATTTTCATGGTAGTGAGTCTGAAGATGGCTGCCTTTTGGGTTGTTGCGCCGTGTAGTCTGGTGGAAGTTTACTGACGTTTCAGGGGTCCTTGTTCTGAAACGTCAGTAAACTTATACCGGACTACACGGCGCAACAATCCAGAAGACAGCCATTTTTAGTTGATGTAGTTTTTGTGTGTCACCTCTTCCACAGTTTTACAAAAGACTGTGTATTGTACATGGAAGTTTGTGTCTTTGAAGATCACTCCAGTACCAAATTTTTAAAACCATGCAGTTCCTGCGTGTCAGTCATACTGAGCATGTTGGTATAGGCATGTTGCTTGAACCTGTATCTGGAGGTTTCCATTTTGGGCAGATTAGCAATTATGGTTTTCCTTAGACTGAGACAGTAACTTATATGCTACAACAGTTTCCTTTTGAAATTCTTATCTACTCACCTTTCATGATTATCTTATGACTTTACTTGTTATTACTCTGTCACAACAATGTCAATGACTAACAACACCTCCAGGACATGATTAACCACTCTGTCTAAACAGTTGTACCATGTGTTCAAGACATTTTGAAATTTATGCTAATGTTGTGCTGCTTCTTTGTTTTTTAACAGATGACTATGTTATGCTGTTCTGTATGTTTGACCTAAGAGGTATTTGATTTATTGATAAATACAAAAGAAGATATTTAAAGATTTTCTGTAACCATGTGTTAACTAAATTCAAGTGCTCTGACAAAATGGCTTGTCGAGAATATAAACGCAACACGTGCATCTTTAATTGCTCTCTTTTGTGAATACCAACTTATTTCATAGTTGAATCATCTGACACTATTTTCTTTTTTTGCATTGTGTTACTTTACTACTGAGAATTTGTCAAGATTTTTCAAAATGTTTCCTATTCTTCCTCTAGCTTACAACACATTGTTTTATTTTGAAACTAATATTTGGAAATTAATTTTGTCTGTGAAGTGACGAATAATGATCAAACTCATTTTCAGTATAGATATTGTATAATAATGAATCAGACAAGTTTTGAATGCATACAGTTGCTTAATAATTCCTGGCAGATGAAATACGATTGTCTGTGTTTTAATAAGTATTCATGATTTTCTTGTGTAGAACCTTTTCACATTCCTATTACAAATCTGTTGACGATTAGGCTCAAATATACTCATTCCTTCAAATTGGCATTGTTTATATTTTGGTAAATTTTGATTTTGCATTGTAGGTCCTTAGAGAAGCGAAGGAGAAAGCTGAGAAAGAGGATCAGGAAATTGAAGACAGTCAAGCTGCAAGAAAAGCACATTTTGAAACACTGTTTGATGATTATCAAGGTATGACTGAACTAGAAGTTGCCAGTATATTAGTTAAAGTTTTGAGAAGAACTTGATGAGCATGCCTTTCTTCAAATGCTTGCAGTTGTATAGAAAGGCTGTAAGACATTACAAATAAAAAATGTATACATCTGCAGTGGACACAAAATGACTGAGCTTGAGCTGTATCACAGTAGTGTAGAATGGAAGATGGAAGGGACAGTGGGTGGCAGGATGACTAAAAGTCTGAGCACGTGTGGTGTAACTAAATTCGTTTTCTTTTTTTCTCTTTTAATTTTGGCACGATTTCTGGCATTTTGATAACTGATTTTTACACTACAATGTAATTTATGAATTAAAGGAACTATAGAACATCAGCAGTGTAGGCATATGCCTTAACCCACACATCTTACTTCTGGAGCCTAAATGTAATAATTTCACATCTGACAGTACAAAGCTCAGTCAGTGTTGTGACTGGCTACGGACTAGATCTGGGTTTGATCCCTGACGGGGGCAGAGGATTTTTCTCTAGTCTCTGTATCTAGGCCGGTTCTCTGGCCCACCCAGTCTCCTATTCGAAGGTTACCAGGGTCCTTTCTCGGGTGTAAAGCACGGCTGGGTTGTGATGCTGACCACTCACCCCCATCTAATTCTGAGGTCAAGAATGAGTAGGAGCTATACTGCCTCTGCCCCCAAGCACCTACATGATGTATAGTGGGATAACTTTACCTTTTATAGTACAAGGAAGGATTGGGTTACCTCTTTGTATGTACTTTGCAGTCCCCCCCCACATGTATTTGTAATTGTCAACAAAGTTTGGAGTTATTTTATGTTCACTGTACCATGGCATGTATGTCATGCTGGGTGCTGGTGTCATTACAGAGAATTTTTTTCCAGAGATTTCATATGTGATTGCATGATTGACTGGGGATTCTCTGTGGGAGATTTGGGACTTCACATGGGAGCTCCCCTGAGGGGGTTACCTGGCTGAGGATTCCCTACCCAGACACTTCCACATACAGAAAAACATGCAGGTCTTCAAAGCAGCCTTTACTGTGGTCAAGTTTTAACCAGAACTGGAATGTGTTTGAATATTTTAGTAAAAATTCTCAGTATCAGATTTAATTAAGATCTGCTTACTGCTCTTGAGTTGTTACATGTGAACAGATGGAGGAATATATGGGCATGATGGAGCTAAGAGGCACACATTTTTTAACTTTATTTGTGAATGAGGTTAAAATTTGTTTATAATTATTTACACAAGTTTTTAAGGTGTGACTGCATGTGTTTGCAAACCTATAGGTCTGGTACACTTAGAAGCTCTGGAGATGTTATCAAAGCAGTGTGACATTAAACTGCAGTCCATACTGTTGACTAGCAGTGGGACTGCCCTCAGCCAGCTGCAGCAGTCTTTGCAAGAAGTGAAGGACATATGCCAGCTCCCTGATGACGAAGACACAGAAGAAGATGAGAGTGATGCTGTCGACTGGAGGAAGAGGCTGGATAATGCGGTAAAGGGGCTTGGTGTCCCTATTGCTACTGAAAAACTGAATAAGGTAAGATTCTCATGTCATATCATTGTTTATATTTTATGGGTTGGTTATTTAATTATACTGTCAGCATCTCAGATTATATAGCATGTAATTACAGTAAAACCTCTCTAAGTTGGATACTTGGAGTTCCACGAAATTGTGTCCAACTTACAGAGGTGTCCAAGATAGAGGGAGAGAGAAAAATCAGATTGTGGTCTAATGACAATATAATCTATTTACTTACATACACTAACTACTGTAACACTTGCAATGCATTCCAATGATGGGTTCAATGTCCATAAGATAATCCTCCAGAGAGGAGGCATTCATCAGTCAGAAATTCAAAATAACAAAATATGTAACTGAAAAAGTTTCCCTGAAAAGCATCGAAGCTAAGTGCATGAACGTGTCCAACTTGCAACAAAAGGGGTGTTCAATATATAGGGTATTGTGGACACGTAAACTTATAGGATATTTGCCAGTTCCAATTAAAAGTGTCCAGGATAAAGGGGTGTCCAACTTGAGGGGTTTTACTGTATATGATGATTAATGAGTAATGAATTGGAGATGGTGTTGAAGGAATCAGTCGTAACCTCACTTAAAGTGCAATCCTGACATTTGTCACAAGGGATCCAAAGAAAATTATGATAGGATAGGATAGCTAGTATCTGAACTCAGATTTGAGTCTAGTACCTCCTGAATATGATCCAAGAGTGCTAACCGTTTGACTACGGTGTTGATTATTAATGTGATATTGTCCTTCGTACATAACTTATTCAACTTGAATTTGTTCTTTGCGTTGTCCTTACATTGAAGCTTCCTCTTTATTCTTCCAGAGAGTCTAGTCCTTTTCTGTGGAGCCTGTCTGTCTTCGAGACTGTGTCCTTGAGATTTTCTTGTTCTGTGGCTTTTATAATATTTTTGTCTACCTGTGATGGTTTGCCAGAATTACTGGTTCCCTGGACTTTCTGCCAGCAGTTTTCTGTCTACTGGAGGGTCCCTGCCCTTCATTGTTTTCTGACTCTTACAGATTTGCAGGTAACACCAGCACCATGTGGTGGCATGCCATTGTCCATTGAGGACTATCCCTTACTTTTGTATGTAGGTGTCTCAACATTTAGAACCCTCAGTGAGTTGTTTTGGACGTATTGTCTTTTCCATCACTGTTGATGTTATTTTGGTCACGTGGGTAATAGGGATCTAAAAGTCACCACCCATAGATCCTCATATGGGTGAAAAGATGAATTTGTTGGTGCTACTGGTACCTCAGAGGGGTAATTAGCAGTGCTGTCATCACCACATCGTTGCTACTCAGCCTCCAGCATGATACCTCACATCTTGCCGTCAGTGGACCAGAATTCTGTGAGCTGTCTCTAAAGATGTACCTCATTCCACGGTGTGGACGGCAGGATTGGGTTTGGGAGGCTAACAGTTATTTTTAATATTGTAGCCACAGCAGACAAGTGTGAGTGATATGCTTTGAACCTGGAAATGTGGGAAGTTTAGAGCAAAAAAGAAATTCCAGACTTGTAATTTTTCTTTTATTATTCTGCATTGTATAATATGTAGCCTAATGTTATGTTACCTCTATTTTCCACTTAGACATGGGAAATGGCACATGGTTGGGTAGAAAACTGTTGTTCCAACCAGAAATCCTCCAATAATGTTGAAGTTATTAGTGCACGTGATATTCATCAGAAAGCAATAGCAACTCTGGCACAGCTTACAGCTGAATCTGTTGAACAGTTCCACAAAGCTGCTGAGCTACTCCTCGTTAAAGATGACCGGAGTCCCACGGAAGAAGCACAAACTTTGCTGCAGTAAGTTGAAACAATGATAAAATTAACTCTCATGCTTGGCTAATCATAACTTTAGTGCAGTTGTACTATAGAAGGACAATACAGTTCTTGTACAATACTGTATCCTCTATTGGAACTAGATTTATAAAGTATTTTTTGCAAACATATGTTTTTCTAATGTTAGTTATAAGTATTGTACGATATGATGAGATTTTGTAACATTGAGTTTATTTATAATTTGCAGAGTTACGTCTGTTCTTACCTCCGAAGTAAGTGCTGTGGCCACCCGCTTCTCTGAATGCCTAAATGCTGCCGCAGAAAACTCAATGGACCCTGTTGCAGTTAACGCACTGATCACCAGTGTGTTTCTCGAGGTAAGGAGCTTTAGAGACTGTGTGGTATAAGGAACGAATTATATATTTTGATGAGGGATGTACCAGAAATACCCAAATTGTACAATAGCTTTAATACCCCCCAAGGAAAGCTTTTAATATTTAAATGTTTAGATTGCCTGCATTAATTGGTTTTATAAGGTGATGTTTGATAAGGCAGTTTCAAGTATAGTGTTATATTGACTCAGGATGGTAGATATTTTTCTGAACCAAATATATAAGCATCAACACTGAGGATGGCCCTGTGAGGACTGAAATGCATCTATTTGTAGATCAAATAAACCGTGTAAAAAGGTATTCAAACATATATTTCAAAACTGTGTGGAACTCACCAAGAGTAACTGGAAATCAATACCAAAATATGTCAATTTTTATATTCAAATAGAGTGTGTGGTTTTTTGTTTGTCTGTAAAGCATTCACATTCACTTTCAGATATCACAATCTAAATATTTAAGTATTCATTTCAAGTTGCTCTTGTTATGAGCTGTGCATGGAAGTTCTGAATAATATACAACTGTGTAGTTTTAAATATGCTTCAAGATCATGCTGACATCATAACTCAAATTTACAAATATGGATGCCCAAGCAAAGTACAGTCATCATTTCATTCTACTGTGGAACCTAGGGACAAGTTTTAGAAACGTTTTAACATTAATTTACATTTTTATTCAAATTAGGCAGACATATTGGTGTATAATGCCAGCTGTATGCTTCACTTCCAGTTTCTAGGCATTTGATTTTTGTTGCACGGAGTGTACAAGAATGGGTATTGCATTTATATCCGTAAAATTACATTTGTTGGGTTTTTTTTTTGTGTCTGTGTAATCATTTTCTTCACTAATTCTTGTATTGGTTAATAAAGTACTCTTAAATAAACAGTTAATTGGGAGCCATAGTATAATAGTGTGTTTTAAATTTCTAGGCAGCTAACAGCAGCTCATATATCCAGGAAGCATTCCAACTCCTGATACCTGTGCTGGAAGTTGGATTGACAAAATAGGGTAAGTATTCTATGTTATCTTACTATGAAGAACCGTGATTGAGGTATTACGGTTCAACATAATTTATTCTGAAGATACTTAGGACTTTGATGTATTGTAACACAGCCATCTTCTCTCCTAATTTGATGTTACTTTTATTGCAGTTGTGTTCCAAGTGCATAAGCAGAAACAGTTTGATAGATTTGTTTCATACATTCTGTATATGTGTGTAGTCTAGGAGCATACAATGTTTTAAGGGCAGTGGTTGGTTGTCTGAATTTACTCCTAGTTTCCTTACCTGGTTGTTGTAGGGCTTTAGTGAAGTTAATCTTTTCACTGCTGTTCAAGTGTCCTGTCCTGCCAACGAGGTTGTGATAGGTGTGGTGAAATAGGTAAGAAAATATGGCGAGTGTTATGAATTGGAGAAAAGCTGAAATATGTGCGTGTGTATACATATGTCTTTAACATTCTTCCAATCTCTGTAACTTTGGGTGTGTAGTTGAATGTCAATGTTATTTTCTGAATCATCCCATATTTATGTAAATTCTAATCTGTACTTACCTGTGTATAATTATAATTCTTTTGTGTTAGATTCATTTTATTATACCTCCCTTTTCCTTACTCTGTCATGAGATTATGAAAAATACTTTTTGGAACTGAGATGTTTGTCATATGTATGTTGTTCTGTATTACAGTTCAGAACTATGAAATCAGATCAAAAAATTTCTGGTTTGCATTTATTTCTTTATACATGCTTTGTTCAGCTGTGGTTTTAATTAAATGACTCTTAGATGGTAGTTAAGGTCCAAAACAGTAAATTAAAATTGTTCATTTGTGATGTGCAGCAGTTCTGCCATTGATGAAAGATGTTTTGAAATTCTTTCTTTGAACTTTACAAAACTAGTCTTGTATTCTTTTAATCTCAGTTATATATCAGTTTCTTTCCCTTGATTATTAACTGGAATTCTTAAAACAGTAAAGTGTGGCATGGGGCTAGATCTGGAGGGTAAAGCAAGTCATAAGGTTTCTTGCACGGACACAGTAGAATGAGCAGGTGTGTTGTCTTGGTCGAGAAACCAGTGCACCATTTCTCAGGACCTTTTAGCCTCACTTTCTTGGTATGTTTATAATCTTGCAGAATGTTTTTAAAAGCACTCCATGTATTTTTGCACATGAAACAACTCACGCACTGGCATATGTTAAGTCACCCATGGCAAGTGACCAGGCATATACCTTTTCCTGTAAAAAAATTAAATCCGTGGCGTAACAGCTCCAGAGAGCCAAAGCCGACTAGCTTGACTGCTGGCCTCACGTTCACATGCCTAAGCAGAGGTGAACGATCATCCAACCAGATATAGGGTGACGTGTGGTCAGCACGACGAACCTCCAGCCATTGCTAGTTTTCCTGACCAGATTACGCTACCCAAAGCTCATGAGAAAATTTCTTCTCCCCCGAGACTCGAACCAGCGCGCATTCAGTATTGCCGGTCCGAAGCATGATGCCTCAGACTGCGCGGCTATGGCGCAGGACACCTTTACCTGTATCTCTGTGTAAATATATCCAAACATTTTTACCTGATATACACTTAAGCATATGAAAGTTAATATAATGATTATTAAAATACATTTCAGAAGAGAAGAACATCTTAATAGGTCTTGCCAGAGTTTTGTTATAATTTATTAAATAATGACAAATTGTACTGTATGTCAAGATGGACAGATTATGGAAACTATAGGACTATATACAGACGGTAATTATCCCACGTGTAACAGGATGGCTGGCAGAGACCTTCCCTGTTTGGACTGAATAATCGTGTCTGCATGGTGCTGTCATTTCTAGCTGTTTTCCAGTCCTTTGTTGTACAACAAACCTGCTACTTGAAGTCTTGATCATTTTGTTCAACATCAGATTCAAGTTGATGCTGAATTCCTGCAAGTGTAACATAACAGTCCATGCTTCCTTCTCTCTGTCTATTTACATTGCCTATGGCAGTGTTTCATTTCTTTTGTCCTTTGCCCACTAATGGTGAAATCTGATTTTAAATGTTTTTTGTCTGTAGATACCATATCAAATTAATTTATAATTCCACTTATGCCTTGACTTGATATTCAGCTTTCCTTTTTTGACCCTCAATGGCCATGAGTTCCAGATTTGTCTTTCATATTAATTACAAGATAAACATTTGGTATGTTACAAAATTGAACAACTTGGTAGTATGAGACAGAAGAAAAAATTATGTTTTGTAGAAAATGTCATGTATTCATACATTAAGAGAGATCCAGCATAAATGTAAGAATGAAAAATGATATAATGCTAGCTTAGCTTTGTAATTTTTATGTTTATTCCGTATGATGTTAGTGTGATAGTTGTAGGCGTCCTGTGGTAGTACTTGTGTCGCAGAAGTCGGTCATCTTCAGATTTGTAAAATAAATTAATAAAATAATTAAAGTTCGAAGAAGAGCGCGATTGAGGTTAGAGCAAGAATGTTAGTTGTTACCAACTGAGCCCTTGCCATTGGCTGCTAGTATGGTTTTAATATCAACTGTTCCTGTCAGATTATGTATATGCCAAATTTATTATGGTGACAGCGTGATATCACTGCGATGCTGTCTTTTAAAATCAGTTTAACGATTTGCATTGAATTACCCGTGGTGACAAAATTTAGTTACGTCGTTTAACGTTTTTAACTGGTATTCTATGGTTGGTTATTAGTAGGTTATCCGTGGTTGAAACAGTCAAGTTACCAGGATAGTGTGGAAGTTCCTTTCACTAGCGGTATCTCTGATAATCTGTGATGTTGGTGGTTGCGTTGAGTTCGTATTAACGTTTTAAGGCATTGGTCATGAAGACGGCTCTTATGGTTGCTGAAAAGCCTTCATTGGCTTCTTCGTTGGCAAATATATTAAGCAATGGGAAAAATTCATCAAGAAAAGGTAAAATGAACTTCGAAGTAATTTTTTCTCATGTTGTAAATAGCGCGGTATTTTTGGAGATGCCATCGCCATTTTGTAGGTTGGTTTTTGGAGACGTATACAATATATTGCTGTAGTAGAAGTGTGTTGTAGTTGCCAATTTTGATAGTGTAGCTTGTATCTTACCTATTTAGTTACGTAAACTTGTGATGCAGTCAATGGTTATCTTCGGGTTGTAATGGCGTGTAATTTGGTCTCACTCATCGCCCTGATTATGGCGGCAGAAGCTACCTCTGTAGCATTAATAAACTTCTACCAGACTACACGTTGCAACAACCCAGAAGACAGTCATCTTTTCAATCATTGCCGTGAGAACCCCAAATCCAATTTGTAATACAGTCCTTACAGAGAAACCATTAGTATTCACTCACGCTATGGTGCAGGAAATTCTTTGAAAAGTTGTTTATATATTCGGCTTCTCAAAGAATAGCCAACTGTCTTTATGGAGGTCGAAGATTCATCACCGTGCTCACAAACGCCACCCACCACCAGTGTATCCTGAACTAGCTACATTCAGTTTGCTCCATCAATTCCCATCTCCATAAGGTCCATTTTAATGTCATCCTCCCATCTACGTCTAGGTCTTTTTAGCAGTCACATCCCTTCAGGCCTTCCAACCAGTACACTGTAAACACCCCTGCTGCATGTCCTGCCCACCACCACCTCGATTTAATTACCGTAACATTGGATGAGCAGTACAAGCCATGAAGCTCATCATTATGCAATTTTCTCCATGATCTGTCGTCCTCCGTTTAGGTTCAAATATCTTATTCAACACTTTTCAAATACCCTCAATCTATGTTCCTTCCTCAGTTATAGATCTGTTACGATGGAACCCACATTGAATATCCCCAATAATTTCATTGGTATATGGAGTCAGCCTTGCTAGAAGAATTTTGGATAAAATTTAGTAGGCAGATGATAGGGAGATTCCTCGATAATTATTACAATCAGTGTTACCACCCTTCTTGTGAATTGGTATAATAATAGATTCCTTCAACTGCTGTTGCATTTCCTGCTTGTTCTATATAGAGCAAAGAATTTTGTGTGTCTTGGAATGCAACATTTTTCTACCTGCTTTGATTTTTGGCCTGAATCTGATCAGTACCTGGGGATTTATACTTTTTCAACTTCTCAACAGCAGTTTCCACTTTGATAAGTCTAGGTTATGGCAGTAATGGCTCCTGCATATGTGTATCTGCATAATAAAATGAATCTTGTGGATATTTAACACCTGGTTAAAGAAATTTTTTTAGCTGTTCAAAATGCTGTGGGAATCTGTGAGCAGATATCCATTCTTGTCTTTGCATATGACCAAAAATGTAATTTTATGAAAATGTTGATAGTGATAATCATTGTGTGTGTGAATGTGACAGTTAAAACATATATCAAGTATCTGAAGAGTAACGCACCTAGATACTGCATTATGTAATCCCATTTCACACTGAGAAACACATGAAACTCTAAAATACAAAATGCAGAGGTATTTATTGTTAAAGCAAGTGGTATGTATAGTTATCACAGCTTTAAAATGATAACAAACCCACTTTACACCTTGGCCTTTTACTTGTGCAGATGTAAATGAGGGAATACTGGTTGTCGTAGAATAAGGTATTGGACTTGAATTCCAAAGTCCCACGTTTGAGGTTGGCCGCTGTAATGATTATTTTTCCACATTCCTTTCCCTCTTATTCCTGACAAAGGTAAACTTTGGGAATGTAAGAAATATCAAGTGTTTGTCAAGGGATGATGCTTGAATTAAGCTGTAGTTCCTGTCTGCTAGCCATTGTCACCATAATCTACTGTTAGTGATAGTAGAGTTTGTACCATAGGTGCCCTGTTTTTGCTGTTAGGCAGAACTGGGAATAATAACTGTAGGCATTACCATCACATAATTATTGCATTGGATTAATGCAACTAATTGTTTTCATTCAGGTTCAAATGGTGCTTGCTATGTTCATGATTGGACAGGGTCCTTTCATGGTGAAACCATTCATTTCCGAATGACATCCGTGTGTGGCCATGTGATGACCTTGGATTTTGTTGGAAAATATAACAGTTGGGATCGTGTTGACCCCGTAAGTTTTTCTTTATGCTTCACAGATGTATATCAATTGCAGAAGTTATTTATTATCAAGCCCTCATACTGCATACCTCGGAGATATTGCGGGTTCGGTTCCAGACCATTGCAATAAAGCAAGTCACAATTTTTTTTTTTTCCCGGTGCATATAAAAGTTATGTTTACACTATACTGTAGTCTATTAAGTGTGCAATAGCATTATGTCTAAAAAAACATTGCGAGAATTACCAAAATGTGACACAGGGACACAAAGTGAGCACATGCTGTTGGAAAAATGGCGCCAATAGACACACTCGACGCAGGGTTGCCACAAACCTTCAATTTGTAAAAAACGCATTGTCTGTGAGGCGCAATAAAACGAGGCATATCTGTATGGTGGTTTCAGAAGTATTTTCCTGGTCAAATCTTTAATTGAAGCTTACACAATTAGATACCATGCAAAAAAGACAAATATTTCAAAGCTGATTACCATAAAATTCCATTAGAAACAGTTATTTCCAGACAATGAAGAAATAGAATGCTTTGGTTTTGTTGAGAAAACAGTTTCTGCAGGTAAGTTAGCTACAGTATTAAAGCACAGCAAACATTTATGATCATGTTGAAATAGTAGTGTAAAGTTGACTCCACAATCCTTAGTTATGAGATACAGGCTGACAAGGCCATGCAGTTGGAACTTATGAAAGTGATATGATGAAACAGCATTAATTCTGAAGAGAAACAATACAACATTCAACCAGTTTATTGTTTGGAACAAGAGAATGCACTTACATGATCTGAAGCTTATGCGGCGATGTAACTCAATAAAATCTTCTTGGGCGATCAGCCGCGTCGAATGGTTAAAAGTTGAAACTGACATTTCAGGGACCATCTCTGTTGCCATCATCAGGGTTCTGATGTCAGAAGAGATGACCCCTGAAACAAAACCCTGATGATGGGGACAGAGGTGATCCCTGAAACGTTGGTTTCATCTTTTAACCATTTGACGCTGCTTATTGCCTGAGATTTTATTGAAGACAATGCATTTCTTCCTGATAAGTGGGGTTAGGAGAGTAGGGAACATCACAGAGTGGAAGGAAGTACTGGGCAGTTGAAAAGAAGCGTGATAACTGATCCAGAATGCTCTGCTTAGTTTGTGGGGATAATTGTCTGTTTTATATTTTAAGAGTTGGTACTGCTGTGAAAAATATTTTATTTTGTTTTAAGCACTTTTATCAAGCATATAGGTTACTTCAGAATGATATTACTTTTTTAATGAAAATTATGTCAGTTTTTAATAGCCTCTAGTATTTGGGTTCGCAGAGACACATTTTGTACGTGTAAAGGTAACGGGTAATTGCACATAATTTTTTGAAGTACAAAGGATGCTATTTTGTCCCCCCCCCCCAAATAAGTTAAACAAACAATTATTCCATCTTCAAAAGTACAATGGTAAAAGTTTGTCATACATGGAGACTTAGGGAAGACAGGTTGAAGAGTCACATGTATATCATTATGTAGAAATGAATTATTTCACAGTTCAAAGTTTATCATGAGACCAGTGGTTTTGAATTGCGAGGTTGGCAGGCTATTAATTCTGGAAAACTAACCATAAATCCTCACTGACTGAACCAATTCACAGTTGTGTTTGAAACACTAGATGTGTCCGTGCATGTGATAGGATTGTGTTGTGAAATAACATGAAATATGGAAGTGAACAGAGTATATATACAGTAATTGTTTGAAGTGTAAGTTTTGGAGGAAATGTTGAATAAAGTTTGCAGCAATTTGCAGAATAGTGATGAAGTTTAATGCAGTGGGATCAGTTAGGCAAAAAATAAAATAAAAAGAGATGTACTATCTGAAGAAACATTTGATAATATCGGTGCTGGATTAGAAGTAATCCCAAATCGTTATAATTCATAGCTTTTCACTGTGGAATGTCAAGAAGTACATTCCGCGTTGCAATCCGATTGTTTAAGTTACATCGTTACAAAATAACAGTTGTACATAGTCTTTGAATTTGATTCTACAGGTGGTTTGGATATTGGTTTAATTACCCATACCTTATGTTTTATTCTGATTTAGAATTGTTTACATTAAGCAGGTATTTGAACAGTCTAAATAGTTGATACAGTAGGGTCCCGCTTTTTCGGCCCCACGCATTAAATAGATGAGTCAGAGAAGTGCGTCCGGCGCCATTTTCTCGTCGCTGATTCAGTCTGTTTAATATTTTTGTGTTACCACAGTGTAATTACAAATATTTTAAGGTATTTTAAATATATATTAATTTAAGGTAAGCAATGTGTGTACTACTGATATTCATTTTACTTTCATATCGTTTTCATGAAAATAAGTTCACTTTGGTGTGTGATAACTGAAATCTTTAGAAATTTATTGAATTGTGTCTTTCTGAGACCCAGGTACTGCTTTTAACATGGAAGTTAAAATTATGGAAATGTAAGATGGAGATTTTGCTGTTTACCTTTTGCTTGAAGTTGATAGTGATAATTGCCAACAAGTGTAATTTTCTAAATGTATACACCAAATCAGCAACAGCAGCAGCTTATTTTATGGTACAACTGTCTCATTTCTTTTTTCACAGGATATTTGGTTTTTATACGCTTTGCAGCGAACTTAGACTTTTAGGTAAATATTCCTTTCATGACCGTTGTATCTTGAAAGTCTCTCTTATACAGACAGAAAACTTCAGACATATAGCTCTTACAATGGCTACTGATGGGAAAGTGGCCCTGTGGGACTTGACTACATGTGTTGAAGAATTAGTAGGCTCAGAACATTCCAACAGCAGCTCTGCAGTATCGGCAGACAATGGCAATAATGGGCAAGTAGTTGCTGACAGCCATAGACCATTCTCATTTGTTAAAATACATCAATCAGGAATCAATAGTTTTGATTGGCTACAGCTACAAGGAGACAAATATTTGCTAGCAACAGGAGGTGATGATAGAGCTTTAGTACTAAGTTTAATTCAGATAATTTCACCAACTCTTCAGGAAAATATGCAGGCTGAAGTTGTTCTGCAGTGGAGAGACAACTGCGCACATGCTTCACAGATAACTGGTGAGTGATGCTACAATTCTTTTCAAGTGTTGTATTCCTCAAGTACAGCTCTGTGTCTATTCCCAGATTTCTTAGATCATTTTGTACGTCTCGCTTTTGATTTACAGACACAATTTTCCCGTCAGGTTTATCAATCAATTATTAGGCATGTTTGCAACTAAAGTTTCAAAGATACACTTACTAGCTTGCCTGTCTGTTTATATGTATAATTTGAGAATGGTAGATTGAATTTTAACAAAGTTTTATATAAGGTATAGTGTTACTAAAATGTGTCAAAACATTCCATTTTTAATTAAAATATTATGGCAGGGAACTTTACAAGAAGACCCACATGTGAGTAGAAGTGACTAGGTGGGGAATCCCTGGGATACTTTTGAGCCGACTACATTCGACTCTGATGTTGTGATGGCGAAACTTCAAAAGGGGTGCGCATGCGTGTGGGGAGGTTAGGCCAGTTCAGGAGAGGGGGACTGATTTGGGCTGGACTCTTCTCGCCAGCGCACGGACTCACTCAGACTGTAGCTACGGATCCGGTCGGCAACGTCTCTCCGGCTGGGCCCCCCCTTCAAGGCTACCGTGGTTTATATTTTGTTTTCATGTTGTAGTTGCCCGTCCAGAAGGTATTTATTTTGTTGTGTTGGTGGACGGGGCAACTACCGTGTTGTTTTCGGTTATTATTGGTCCCTCGGGGTGGTCAAGGCCGGGGAGATGAATTTGAGGGTTGCTGAGAGCGAGCCGAGTTGTGAGGCAAAGATCCGCTTTTCGGCGATTTTCACTGTTCGGTGATGGTCTGGTCCATAACCCGTTGTATATGCAGTGCCCTACTGTACTGGTCTACAGAAAATCATCTTGCTGTTCAAAAGTCAGAGTGATGCACAGTTAGTGCTTGGAAAATAACATCCATTATTTCTTGATGAAACAGTAAATTCTGAATGTTGTCTAAGATATTTTCTGACACCGTATTTTGATAAGTTTGACTGTAGTTAAAGAAACATACGGGCATTTCATGCAGAGCAATGCTTCAACCACACAGCTAATAATTCCATGAATGCGTTTGCTGAAGTTTTTGGTAAATGAGTCAAGGATTGTGGCTTGCCTGAAATGAAAGGAAATATTGGCAGTAAATGTCCCTTATTCTGAGGCAACTACTTTACTTTGTGTCTACAGACAGTTTTTTTAAAAGGATTTGGGGTCTTTGTTGAAGCAGAAAGTTGGCACTGTGAGACTCTACTTTGAGCTGTAGGTGGAAAATGGGAAATAAATAATTTGTCTCTCCTGTTCCACCGTGCAGTAACTGACTTACGCTGTACAGGATCCAAACATGTGATAAGGTAGAGACCCGGTACTTTTTATGTGGATTGTGGTCTTCTGAGTTGTGACTGCACATCACAACCAAGAAATTCACAATTTACAGTTTAACCAATATTAAAACCTCAAATCATACTTTTCATGACAGGTGGAGCTGTTCTCGTGCCAAACAGAGAAGAAGGAAGCTAATCCAAAACAGAGAATGCAGTCATTTTTAGCGCAGGAGGCCAGAGGATGTGACTTCTTGATTTTGTGGCTTGATTGTGACAAAGAAGGAGAGAACATATGTTATGAAGTTATCAGCTGTGTACAGAATTACATGAGGAGGAATGTACAAAGTCCAGATGTAAGAAGAGTGTACAAATATCAGAAATATGTGTCTTGGAGATATCTGTCCTGAATTGGTCATGTGCCTTCATGGGCAAGTACCGTTGTTAGACATTCATTTGGTACCCATTCTGCTCTTTATCCTTGCTATAGTTAATATTGGAGGATTAATCATTCTTGTTCATTATACATGTCACATAGCATTTTATCCCAATAAGTTCAATGTAGTAAACTCCCAATTATCCAGGCTAAGAAGGAGACAAGATGATGAGTATTTAAAAAATGTTTGTAACTAAAAAGATTTATTTAATGCATTCACAGAACTTAGAGAAATTCACTTTACATTTTTTTTCTCATCTGACGTTGAGAAATAGTTTGTAAAAAGCATTTGTTTTGTGAACTGTATACTCCTGAAGATGGCTGTCTTCTGGGTTGTTGCAATATGTAATCTGATAGAAGTTTATCAGTGTTTCAGAGGTCGTTGCTGCCTCCGTCATGAGGGCAATTGGAGTCAGCAAGGACCTCTGAAAAGGGTGGAAAATTGGTAGAGCTTTGAGTGCATTGAAGGAACCAGTGTATATTTGTTTTTTGTTATGATTGACTAACTAACAGCTGATTCAGCTACGACATTCAAAATGTTGTTGGGAGGGAGAGATGGTATAGTCTTATCTAACACATAGTCCGGAAATAAGCAACACTGGTGAGTTATAGAATGTTCTTGGCATTGCAGGACTAGATGCATGAAAGATTCTTTAAGACAACTGGAAAATGGATTTTGTTGGATGTGAAGTAAATTGAAATTATATTTATGCATCCAGCCTGTAAATATTTATAAAATTTGCCTGTTATTATCAGTGGAGCATGTTATATCTGGCACCGTCCATCTTGTTACAGGTCGTGTTTCGAGCCCATTTTTCAGCTATAACTGAGAAAGATATTAAAGCAGCTCTAGCAAATCTGGGGAAGCCAAATGAAAACGAAGCTCGTAGTGTAGACGCTCGACAGGAACTGGACCTTCGAATTGGTTGTGCCTTTACCAGGTTCCAAACTAAATTTTTTCAGGTTAGTGACCATCATACATAGATTTCAGCAAGTAAGAATTATCAGGCTAATAGGTTTCATACTGCGGTTACTCACATAACTAACTAGATGGCTTATGGAACACGAAGGTTCGTCACAGAATTAACCAAAGCCCTCCACCGGACCCTGTCCTGGGCTGGGTACTCACATAGTGATTGTAATTACCAGTGTTATTCTTGTTAATAGGTTTTCACAGCTGGATTTAATGTACTTAATATTAAGGTATTGTAGATGCGTCATATTGTGAATTAATAGTATTAAAATATTTAAATATTTAAAAATAACCGTCAATCACAATAAAATTAAAAGATTAAAAGATTAAAATATCATATTATGTTCCCTATCGAGTA